ATATGATGATGACGACAATAGTAGTGGCGTTGTTGATGATAATTTTACATGCGAATGAATAAACACTTCCAATACAAGGTCTAATAGTTCATTGGTTTCAAGTTCCAATGATTTAAGCGGTGGTTCCAGAAGACCTTTAAAAAAACGAATCATAACACATGGTTTTGTGTGGAAGCATTTTGAAAAAGTGAAAGGTTCAAATGGAAATGAATTCATAATTTGCAAATTTTAAAAAAAAAAAAAAAAAGAAATATTATTATTATAAAAAAAAAATTTAGTGACTAAAGAAATTTTTAACCAACTAGTAGTCGACTAAGGATTTTTTGGACGATTCCAGCCTCTATTAAAAAGAGTATAAAAATGTAAATTAGGATCATTTTGTTTTAAAAATAATCAAAATAATGGAGCCTTTTCGTAAAAGTAGACGGGAAAATTAATCCAATACAGTCCACACTGTCTATAACAGGATCAGGAAATTTGTTATTATTATAGAGAATCTGGTACAGAAAATTGTACTACATTAAGTCATGCAGAATAAAAAAATTTTTATTATATTATTATTCAATATTATTAATTAATATTTTAAAAAACAGTAATATAGATTGTTTTGTTGAATTGAATTCTATTTTTTTTAATTTTCTTTTTGATATTTTTTAACTGTTTCAATTCCTCATTTGTAAATTCCTTAAACTGTTGTTCAAACAAACAAGTTTACTTTTTCAATAGCCAATAAAGCATCTCGACTTGAAATAGGAGATGTCTCTTCGATGTCTTCTTCATCCTGATTTTCTTCATTAAAATTCGACATGGAAATTATTTCTTCATTCAGTAAATCATCATCATCAACATTTATCAATACTTTTAGTTCATTACATCATACCTTATGTCATTTATTCAAATATATATATATATTTTTTTTTTGTTGGATTTTTTATAGACAACAATAGTAATTTTTTAGATTTGGAGAGATCTGCATTTTATTTCAGATCACGTGAATCCATTATAGGAAGTGTGTAAGTCATATATATATTAATATATCAGATACAATCCGTTATACGTAATAAAAAGTTTAATTAATAATATCCGTTATATATAGAAAGAGATTTCAAATAGTAAAAAATCGGGACAAAGCTTTTAATCCGTTATAGGGAAAAATCCGTTATAGAAAGATCCGTTATAGACAGTGTAAACTGTATTAGTATGATTTGTTAATAATAATCGCTGTTATGATGTCAAAAAGTATACGTCGGCCAAGTCAATCTCCGACCAAATCCAATCGGACTCATTCGAACAAAACTCAAACCAGCAAAAAAAAAACAGAAATTCTTTTAATTGAAGAATGGAATAAAAATTCCTAAAAATGTTTTTAAAAGTGATGGATGGTCCACAAAGTTAAAATTTATTAAAAAATATGATTTTCCTTAAAACATCGACGGGTTTTCCTAAATTCATTTATAAGAATATATTATTAAATGATGTTTTAATGACCTTTTTTGAAAAAAAGTTTAGCGGGTTATAATAGACTAGGTTTCATTGCAATAACCTAAATAAATGTCAAATTTCACTGGTACAAATCATTACCATATATAGAAATGATGGATAACTACGAATGTTTGCCTTATTTCCAAAATTCGACCATATTAATAAAATGTATATACGTTTTTGGGTAATTAATGTTGGAAATTATTTCTTCATTCAGTAAATCATCATCATCAACATTTATCAATACTTTTAGTTCATTACATCATACCTTATGTCATTTATTCAAATATATATATATATTTTTTTTTTGTTGGATTTTTTATAGACAACAATAGTAATTTTTTAGATTTGGAGAGATCTGCATTTTATTTCAGATCACGTGAATCCATTATAGGAAGTGTGTAAGTCATATATATATTAATATATCAGATACAATCCGTTATACGTAATAAAAAGTTTAATTAATAATATCCGTTATATATAGAAAGAGATTTCAAATAGTAAAAAATCGGGACAAAGCTTTTAATCCGTTATAGGGAAAAATCCGTTATAGAAAGATCCGTTATAGACAGTGTAAACTGTATTAGTATGATTTGTTAATAATAATCGCTGTTATGATGTCAAAAAGTATACGTCGGCCAAGTCAATCTCCGACCAAATCCAATCGGACTCATTCGAACAAAACTCAAACCAGCAAAAAAAAAACAGAAATTCTTTTAATTGAAGAATGGAATAAAAATTCCTAAAAATGTTTTTAAAAGTGATGGATGGTCCACAAAGTTAAAATTTATTAAAAAATATGATTTTCCTTAAAACATCGACGGGTTTTCCTAAATTCATTTATAAGAATATATTATTAAATGATGTTTTAATGACCTTTTTTGAAAAAAAGTTTAGCGGGTTATAATAGACTAGGTTTCATTGCAATAACCTAAATAAATGTCAAATTTCACTGGTACAAATCATTACCATATATAGAAATGATGGATAACTACGAATGTTTGCCTTATTTCCAAAATTCGACCATATTAATAAAATGTATATACGTTTTTGGGTAATTAATGTCTGTCTGGTAATGAACATCAATTTAGGTCTGAATTTGGAGAATCAACTATTTTATTTATTAATTAGTATCAGTATTAAATATCGTAATAATCAATATGGGATCCAGACTTGAAATTATTTTTAAACAATAAATTTACAAGTTTTTGTGAGGAATCATTCATATCAAGCAACTGATTATTATTAAAAAAGTTTGTGTAAAGTGTCTTTTGTTCTACATCTCCAATTGTTTCTCTAACTTGTTTTTGCATGTCATTGTTCAATGGCCCAGGTGCATAATTTAAAGTTTTGGTGTTATTACCTTCCTATCAATTTATGAATAATGTGAATAATGTGAATAATGTGAATAATGGATGGATTTAACGTAATTGACAAAGTGATTAGTTTTACTTGCCTCTTCAAGAGAGATTACAGCTAGATAAGTATCTCTGGCACTTTTAGCCATACAATATAATCCCCAATTGGGTGTTGGTTTTATTGCAAGTAAAGATGAAATATTTACAATTATACGTTGATTTGTCAAGGAGGATTTTAATCTTTTTAAAAATTCTGAACTTTAAAAAAAATAAAAAAGAGAAATAAATATATATATAATGTGTGTGTATTGTATTTGTATATACATACAAGTGTATAACGTATTTACCATATTATAGTAAAAGATGTAATGTTTAAATTGATGTTAATTATTGTAGAGAGAAAAAATATATTTTTTAAATGGTGTGTAACAAACAATAAAAAAAAAGCTCGCCAGAACCAATATCTTTTGCAAAAATGTTTATTAAACAGCAAATAAAGGAGAAGAAAATGAGGTACCATCAGATATAGTGATAGTGGTAAATTGATGGTTGCTTTCATTAAAAAACATTTCTTGGTTAATTTTTGCATAACTAACAAAAACAATTCCGATTTTGGAGGTGATAATTTTTAACGTAACAACAATTCAATTGAGGATTCGGTTTGGGCTGAACCGTTCCTATTACATATGTGTAGGATTAATTTTAGAATTAAAGAGACAACAACTGCTCCAGCAAACCCCGCATGATAACCAAATGCAGCAACACGACGACCTATCAAAAATTATAAAATATAAATATTCATCATTTAAAAACTCTAAATCAAGAAACAGTCCTTTGCCCTTGATAAACCTTTAGAATATTTTGCCAGCCAGTTTGATTCTTATAACAATGTGCAAAATAAATGTGTGTATGAGAAATAGGCGAATCATCATTTTCCTTTAACCTATAATGTAAACATCTGATGGAGCTGCTTTCCAAGTTCCAGATTGAACTAGTGTACAACCAATTCTAAGTAATTAAATAATGAAGTTGATGATAAGGATAATAAATAATCGAAAACCAAAATTTACAATTAATAAATAAATTCTTTTTTTTTTCATGATTTACAAACCTTTCATATTCTTCATCATCAAAAATACGTTGTGTAGGTTTTTCTACTGTGATTTTAAAGCCTACACGCATAACATAAACATAAAAATATACACATATAAAGTATTTATTACAAGCATAAAAGTTCAAAGAAATAACATTGGGGAAACATTCATTACCTGTTTTGAATTAATTGTTTGCTTGTATTTGGTGTTAAAGCTGCTCGATGTTCATCATAAATGTACCGTTTTTTTTTTTATAATAATAGATTTGAAATAAAAGAATGCGACGACATAGCCACTGAAAAACTCTATCTATTGCGTAAAAGATTGATTAAATAATATATATAGAAAACTAATATCGTAAGTTACATTCTTTCCAAACATGTTAAAGATATCAAGAGCCTGATCATCGATGATTGTTCGTTGCTATGGTATAACTAAATTCACAGATAATGGAAATTATGCAATGGTTCTTGCTTATTTACCAGGTGGAAATTTAAGGGATTTTTTACAAAAAAATCATTCTAATTTAACATTAAAAGACAGAATTAAAATCTTTTATTATTTATGTAATGTGATATACATAAAAAGGATTTAATCCATTGTGATTTACATAGTGGTAATATATTATTGCTAAAAGGTTATTGTTATATTACATATTTAGGATTATGATAAAGTTATTCTTGCTTCTTGTAATCCAAAGGAGGTAGTGTTAACACTAAAATAGATAAAGCTTTAATCTCTTCAAAAATGTCTGCTTTCTTAGTTTTCAATAAATTGAATTCAGTCAAAAGTCTATTAGCAACCTCTTGAGTTTTAACAACACCAAGATTAGATGCTTCAAAAAGAAAATGTTGATATTTCTGTATATTTG